ATTAATACTGAATATTTTTTTGTAGAACTCTGTAATAGAATTGGTATTTGTTTTAAACTCGAAGAGTAGCATTCGATCAGTATCTTTCCAGAACTTCAGCCCACGAGGTTGATGACATTCCCTGTAATTCGATCCCGTATGTCCATAGTGGTTGAAGGATACATTCGTATAAGATTACCTTGCATCTAAAATACACTTTATATTTGAGTAATTTAATGATCATATTAAGCCCAATGAACTCATACTCCACTTAATATTAATAGAAAAAAAGGGTGTACAAGTTACTGACTTCACGTTAAACTCTTCTGTTAATTCTCCGAACTTGTACAATTCATTGAAGTTCAACGGTGACAGACATAGTGCACAACATAATCATGTTTGCTGTAAATTGCGATGTACTTACCGCAAATGTTACAGCGAAAGAATTCAGTAACGATCAATAAACATCGACGTTTCGAATCGTAAATCAATCTGTTCGGCAACAAATCAAATAACACACGCCTCGGAAAGTAAGTCAACGACCAACTGCGTTCAATATATAATAGCTACACTGTAGATATTTATGCGAATATCATAAAGATATTTCTCGTCCTTTCACAAAATTATGCAACAAACAGAAATTCCTTTACTCTATTAAGGACTCTATTAAGTTCCAAGTAAAATGGAGGTCCTATCAAATTTCACTTAAATAGTTTTGTATACTCAGTTTTAACAATCGGTAAATCCTATATTTTACAGTTTAGTTAATACATTAACTAACATTTTCTGAAATTGTGACGCACTGGTTTTCCTTACAGACACAGATATATTACAATAAAAGTGGCGGAGAATATCAGAAAATTCACTGTTATGGTATTTTAATAATTTCTATAAAAATCTACCAATCACTTTCACTGCTTCGGTGGTTCCAATGTTAAACAATCATATTACGCTATAAAATCCGCAGTCTAATAATAATAGGCATTTCGACAAGCTGCACCCAAAATAAATACCGAACACTCCAATAAACGACAAAAATAACGTAACAACGTTTTACCTTTTTTATTTTATTTAAACTTACTCAAACCGTTATGAGGTTCATACAGCTATACATGAACGTCTCATCTCGTAGCAATACAAGGTTCGTCATTTTCCCTGAATAATTTAAAAGAATCCTTAACTCACTTTCCAATGCACCATCGAGCAGAGATGTGCACAATTTTATTCGATTAATACATAGTGAGGATCAACAGTATCTAAGATCGTCATCCTGACCTTTAAAAAGTTCATGAGATTAAATAATTGTTTGCAAAGTGTCAACTCATTCAAGAAGAAATATTATTTTACGATAAAAATTGGAATTACCACGTTCGATCAAATAAAAATAACGAAATATTTGTTCATCTTTTATTCATTATTCGAAACATTTTATCTAGATAATGAATTTGCCCGTCTCTGCCATCGAGTCACCACTTCCATCCCTAGCAAACCACGCAGAAAAACCCAGAATCTAATTATCCCAGTAAAATCATTGAATTCCAAATCCCTGTGGATTAACCCGTCAAAAGCAGCAACGCTCTCTCGCGCCAATCTAAATACGAAAAAAAGCATTTCGCACCGAGCCCATTCCCCAATCGCGATACGCCATGAATCCACCGGTGCTGCATCGCAGGATTAGCATCGCATTACCGCTCTCGAAAAGTGAGAAAGAGAGAAGAACATCGGAACGAACGTAATACCTACCCACCCGTTGTTGGATCCATTTCACGTAAGCCGAATTCATGAGGCCCCCGTGTGGCCTCCGGTTATGACAGTCGCGCCTCGCGGCAGCTTTCCATCACGGATCGTACATTTGAAAAACAGCAAAGACGCTGAAGGATCGGACGACGGTGTTGCGCATCCTTTTGTTGGTTACCTACGACTTTTTCCCTATCCGCACCTCTCTTCGAGCACACACAAGTGTGCCGCGGGGCGACGACGCGTCCCAGCAGTCTTTGCTTTCTCTCTTTTCCACCTTGGATTCACTCGTGTGTCACCCCTTTCCCCCCCCCCTCCCCTCTGTACCCTCTCGGTGGATTCTCTGGCCTCGAGACGGTGCCAGAGAACGGACAGAGAAAGGACGTATCGTGTATAGGGCACGAGCAAAAAGGAGGAAGGAGAGGGTTAGACGAGAGAGATCAGGTATCAAGTGTGTAAAAAAAAAAAAAGCCGTGCCATTGTACGGGAGCATCTGACCGTAGGGTAGGTACCACAGTGGCGATGTTCACCGGGCAGAAAGAGAACGAAGGAGACACACGAGGACCTATAGATACGTAAGTCTTGTTGCTTGTGTATGTAGAAAGAGATACGCAAGCCAGCTACCACGAACGAGGACCAGGGATGGTTGTATGCTGAACGGAGAGAGGTAAAGGAAAGGAAAAAAGAATGCTGAGGAAAGAAGAGAGAGAGAGAGAGAGATAGAGCATTGTACACCGTGCACCGAGAGCGTTGGCAGTTTATAAGGGTCCCCCGTATTGTGGATACGTATTATCATGCTAAATATAACATGTTAACTACTTCGCATAATGCCGCCCCGCGCGATCTATACGTGTACCTCACCCGATTCTCTCGAACCCCGGCGACCGAGGACCGTTCACGGGCGAATCGCGTTTCCGCGGGGCGAAAATTTTTATTGCCGTCGTTCGTGGCAGATGCGGAGCATCGATGCCTCTCGACGGTTCCCATATAGGGTTGCCAACTTTTTACTCAGACAATTCCTGGACATATTTCCCAAAACTGAAATATATTGTATGTATATACAGGGTGTCTCACCCGATTTTGACATTTTCTCGCTATTGTTACTCGTAGCAAAAAATGTTTCAGCGGAGACTTGAATGGTATCGAGTCGAGCATATTCTGATGTTATTAGTTTTTTCGTGAGTAGAAGCGTAAAGGTCGTATGAAGGTCAACTTTGTTTTTTTTTTATGGAATGAGGCATTTGTTAATACATCAATCGATGCAGCTGCATGTCGAAAAGTTAGTAGTTCAGGAGATATTTCAATTTAAATCATTCTAAAACACCATTACTGTCGTACTAAGACGTTAGCGTTTATTTACAGGAATGGTAATAAAGTATTTATACAATAAGTATATATACAATTTCAGTATTATTTCGTTGGCACGACATATTCAAAATATTTCTTCCATTTCTGACCTATACCTATATATTTTTTTCTCTTTCATTTCTTTCTAATATTTACTATTTACAAGGAACACGCTGGCCACGAATAATGTGAACACCCTGTATACAGGGTGAACTGTATATTAATATAAACACAAAAAATGCCACTAAAGTTTATACAAACGTCTATCATCGTGGCTGACAGTGAGCAGAATCTACGTGGAGATTACCAGAAAACTTCTCCCTGTCAAGCGACTTCCACGTCTAATCCTCTTGATCGCTTAATTACAGCGATTGTTTTTTTCGAAAAATATGAAATCTACACGTTCCCTGGTCACGATAATGATAGGCTTTCGCCAAGTACGACGATTGGGTTCCCCACATCGAGCACGAAGAATCGATTGCGATTCCTTGTCTCTTGGCCGCGCAACCAGTCGTGGGAAGTTATAATGTTAATACCGTATTAACTAACGAGCCGAACGATTTACGACGGGGATCGAGCGTTTATGACGAGAGGCTGAAGGCATCGATCGACACCGCCGCGATCTGCTGCGGCACATTTGTCATCGCGCAGAAGTCCCTCTCCCCCCGTTCCTTCGATTACGACGATCGTATCGTCGCGTAACAACAACGTTCGAGAAAACTATATAATTAATTCATCGATTTTCAAGGCCCGTCACGGCGAATAAATACGTAATGTGTCTCATCAATAACGTTATGGCTTGCCCGCCGTTCCCCCTCGCGCGGTTTCGCAACGTCAGCCGCTTTTCCCGGTAAAAACCAGGTAAAGATAGACACCGTGGATAAATATCAATGGTCTCGAATCACTACTAAATATAAACGATAAGCGCATTCCGCAGCGTCGTTAATTAATTACCCGACGATTTGCCTTGGGGCGATGGATAATATAATTAATGCGTCGATGGAAATCGCTTGGATCGATGGAAAATTCGGTAAGAATTTTTTTTGCTCTATTGGATTGCAAATGATCTATATTGTTTGTTGTGCTAGTCGGAAGTTATAACATTACTGTGCTTCTTAGTCTCTTTTGATTGTTGAATTATTGTCGTGATTGTTTAACGATTAAACTGGGGATTTTATGCATTTATATCCTATAGGGATATGTAAAATTGAACGAAACAAAAAATTTTCATTAGACACACCGAGTTTTCTATTTTACCTTGACCCCAATACTTAAGGCAAGAAAGAAATCGATGTAACTTTGCAAATAACTAGATATTTTTCCTATTGCATCGCGTAGCACATGAAAAAACCCACTCAGATATGCACTACAATGTTACCTTCAAATGACCTGCAATTATTTGAAAACAAAAAACACCGACCTTGAAAATATCGAGAGAAAAACAACACCAGCAGGATACTGAACCCTTAATACCATTCAAATTTCCTATAAACCATTTTCCGCGTTTCCACAATTAAAAAAGATATTCGGGAAGTCACACTCAAACGGTACACCCAGTACATATCCATCAGCTCCTCCAGCTGATCGAGCATTGCTTCCTTTCCGTCCGCGAGAAAAAGAGAAAAAACTTGACACCAGGTAATATGTATGCAGGGCAACCTAATATTTCCTCGATCCCCAAACGATACATCCCAACGATCGTAAAAAGGTGCAACCGTCGTCTCGATCCCGGTGTATGCAAAAGCAATATATGCAAAAGAAAATTCGAGAGGGAACACCCAGTCGCGGGATTCGACACGCGTACTTATATGTCAGCATGCACTCGATCGATTTACTCGAGTTCGACCACCACCGCCGTGAGTCGTGCAGCGAGAAAAACAGAAAATAAAAGGGGGTGAATCAATGCTAAAGCTCCGATTCTCCACGGACTGTTGAAGGGGTGTGATGGGCCCGAAGCTGCTGGTGCAGGAGGCGCCTGGCTCCGGTTCCGGCTCGACGAATCGCATGGAAGGCGGCGAAGGCGCCGGCGGAGGGGAGCTACACCATTTCCTGCATCAGTACAACCAACAGTCCCACAGTCCCGGGCAGAGCCTGCAGGGTGGCCTTCCGCTTCCGCTCAGCCCGCAGTCCCTCAGACACGACGGCTCGACCGGCTCGGGGATCACCGGCGTGAAACGGGAACCGGAGGACCTTAGCTCGTCCCGTGGCGCACAGCAATCGAGCAAGAGGCACAAACAGGCCCAGCCGGACAGTCCCACGCCGCCTGGGATGTACCATCATCATCAGCATCAGCTGCAGGTGAGTAGATCTACACTTTCTACACGGGGGTTGAAAATTAGGGTGAAGTGACCCATGGATTCCCGAGACGTGTTGCTATTGATTTTGGTTGATAATAATGGTTTTTTGTTTAATATTTTTTGGGGAAGATGTAATAATTATACTTTGGAGACGAGTGACAGGTAATGACGAGATTAATCCAGAGATGGGAGAATTTATTATTTGGATGAGGAGTTTCGAATAACGAATTAAAGATTAAAAAAGCACATAAACGTGAAAATTGTCACTTTTATAACATAATACTTTTGGAATGAGTCGATATTTGACAATTAATTATTTAATTTCGTTAACTGTTTAAAGCTCAGGATGATGCCATTGGATACTGTTGCTTTTCACTGTGTATCATTCGAATAAAATTGTACTCAACTCTGGGATCAAGGAGAGTACAAGAATCATATATTATATTATGCTATAGTAAAAACTAAATATTGTTCAGGCGATCCAATTCATCGAATCCTGAAATCAGCCAATAAATTCACGGATCTGATTGACTTTTTCAGTGGCTCTATTGAATACTTTAAGGCATGCCTACATAGAGCACTAAAACCTATTTAATCTTAGTTAATATTTTATTAAAAATTTCCTATCGCGACTAATTCCATACTGTATAATATATTGATGTAACTCTTTCTAATCTTATTTCCATTAATTCTTATGTACGTATACTGGGTTTATACTCGGTAAATGACTAAATAAATAAAATTAATTATTTCAGGTGCAACAGTACGGAAGCCCGTACGATCCGTACACGTCGTGCAGCCCTAGACTCCAGTCCACGGCGTACACGTCGACCTCGGCGACGGGCGGTGGTAACGGTGGTAATCCGAGCGGCCTTCACCAGGAGGCGACCGCTGTCTACGTCACTGGGGACGCGTTGCCGCCATTAGCCTCCTCGAGTTCGTCCTCGTTGTCAACCACGACCGCTTCGTACACGAGGTACGAGGTTGTGCCAAGCTCTTACGCGACGACACACGCGATACGCTCGTCCTCTAGCAGCAGCAAAGTCCTGACCGTTGATCTTCCCAGCCCCGACTCCGGCATCGGCGCCGACGCGGTCACACCCAGGCAGGATCATCATCCGCCCACGGCGCTCCATCAGGTTAGTGAATAGAATGATTTCGTTCTGTTTTTTCTACGTTGTACAGGGTGTCCCAAAATAGTTGTAAGTCCTTGAAAAGGATGATTTCTGGAGTGATATGAAAGAACCTTTTACTTAGCGAGAAAGTTCTCTGAGGCTTTGTTAACGAGATATTAACGAAATAAACCGACCATTCGGAGCTCAGCCGGCAGATAACATATTTGCTTTAAAAAGTTTATTAAATATTCATGAAGGTTTCTTTCATACAACGAAGTCCATTAATTACTAGAATTCTACGAAAGTCTTGCGGAAGACCATTAATAGAAGCACTTTGTAAAAGATGATATTAATTCCTATTTTTTAGTGTTCGTACAAATAAACATTCACATTGATATTGAACACCAGAACTACCAAAACAGTTTAAATGACTGATTAATAAACTCCTACAGCGATGATGAAAATAGTATATATAACTAGACTACAAATTTTTATGCAAAATAAAATTTTATAAAATAATTCATAAAAACAAGACTAGGAATTTCTCTCTTCTCTTCTGTATCTCATAGAGCTAAGAATGAAATAGTAAACCCATTACATCTAATGAAAATTGTGCCTTTTATTATATTTGCCAGAGCTCTAGATGCTATAAACGCATAAAATTCGTAGTTCAGTTATACCAATGCATTTCCTCAGATATTTTAAAACTTTTATCACAATACGAACGTGAAGAAATTTCTAATTCATTAATTTTTAAAAGTTTGTCTATATTCACCAATCCAATGGAAACAAATATAACATTTATCGTCCATCGTTCTAGTGCTAACCGAGAACATATTAATCGACGGTCTTGTTTCCCATAGGGACCAGTGTAAACACCTATGCAAAGGTGTGTTTTCAATTCCAGTATCGTTGGACGGTAGCCAATCGACAGGCCATCTTCTTGCGGCCCCGCTATTAAATGGCACTCGTGCAGAACCATTCTGGATGTATTCGCCTCCGTACACTTTCGCCGAGGACGGTCCCCCCCCCCCCTCCCCATCACGATCACTTTCCATCGCGTTGATTTCGTGCCCAGACACCGTAAAGATGTTTTGATCGGGTTCTAACAAATTAATCGGACAACACCTACCATTAAGCGTTTATCGCCGGGCCCCGATCTCAGCCTGGTGTATATAACTTCTTCCACGTGCAATAATTTTCTGCGCGCTCTCTTGGAACAGAACTTAACACGGCCTACGGTAACGACACGGAGCGTTTTACATAATCAGCAACGCATATCTCGCCGGGATACTGACACATTTATTTATACCCGATGAGAATCGTAGGAGATACGCGGCCACTTCTTTTCTGCACGGTGTACACGAGGATAGAGATACGCCTGCGCTCGACGACGAGTCTGTGGGTGGAAACGAAAGTTTCTGTCAAAAGGAGGCCCTTTTAATAAGCGACGGTTATCTTGAAAATCATTTTTCTTTGCATACTGCTCCAACTAATTACCGGATGGACAACTGAATAGTCTTGTTTCTGGAAGATGATTTAGTTCTTGACGAAGAAGATTCTTGAAAGTTTGCATAAATCGGATATTATCGTTCCTTTTTTTTTTAAATTCTTGGTATGTTTCCTTTAATAGTTGCGAAGTATACTTGAAGAATTTTTAGAAATGAGATTCATGATGAAGAAAATTCTTAAAAAATTGCATAAATCAGATATTGTCATTCCTTTTTTTTTAATTCTTAGTGTGTTTTCTTTAATAGCTGCGAAGTATATTTGAAGAATTTTTAGTAATGAGATTCAAGATAAAGAAAATTCTTAAAAAATTGCATAAATCAGATATTGTCATTCCTTTTTTTTAAATTTGTAGTTTGTTTTCTTTACTAATAACGAAATATTTTTCAGGAATTTTGGGTAGTATATTAAATTGATGGAAAATAAATAGTATTAAAACTTAGTATATTTTAATCATTTGCAGGCTAATAGATTATACTAGGTTCAATTTATTATAAACGCTAATTTTTTGAAATGTTAGGCTTTAGTTTGTCAATTCAGATGCGAACCTTACACAGAAAATCTTAAAACCAGATTTTCAGTGGCAATTTATGTAACAATGATCGGCCTCGTTACGATAATATGGAAATAGAGGTAAATCAATCTAGATCAGCTGTTGATTATTGCTACGTGCGCAGCAAGAAGCGTCAATTAGCAGTCTTTTTGATCCCAGTGCACGTATACAATTAATTACGTGCAGTATTTAACCTTTAAAGCGATCTACACTAACATACCCGAGACTAATAGCCCTGTACGAAGTGTTTTACAATTCTCGATCGAACAAAACTATGAAAAATGCAACGAAAACCTGGCGACTTCGATCAATGCGATGAGTTCTATGATTTCGATGCTTTATCTGGCGTTAAAGTCTCCAATAAATGTCCTCCAAAAACATTCCTGGCCACTAAGGATAAAAAGAAATTGCACATTTAAACGATCACTTCGTATGGAAAACAAATCTAGGGTAAACGCATCAATAAAATAACCAATTTTCAAAATAATCGGTCCAACCATCATACTTTCAACACGCATTTCGAAAGTACAGTTTTGAGATAAACGTGTTTAACCCTTTAATGCTCAGTGTAACGTATGCGTCATATCTACAAAATTATATTTCGAATAACAATTTAAAGGGAGACAACAGGATAACGACCTGAAAGTTAAAAGTATCTTTCGGAATTTATTAAAGAAAAATTACTTAATGAATCTTCTTGAAATCATCAAAGTCTTTTTGAAGACGATTTTTTCAAAACGTTACCCTGTAAGATCCCCTCTGTGTGTCCTCCCTTAAGTGTCTGGGCGTTAAAGGGTTAAAGTTTGACCATTAGTGTACGTTGCCTTTAATTTTCATCAAATCAACTTGAAACATTCTAGAAACATTCCAAAGATATCCCATACTTTAAGAACACCTACGTAAAAATCGAGAAATCGAAAATTTGGAAATTTCTAATTGTACAGATCTGCCTCCTTAAAGTAAAAAGCAACGCCAGCGGCAGTTTCGTCGTGTAATTTTCGCTACGTCGTCGTCGTCTGAAGAAGGTAGGGGGAGGGGAAGGGCTTCCACACGCGTATTCCCATAACCGATTCATCACTCCCACGCGCGATTCGGTTGTCGCTGGTAATCGGTCGCTTCCGGAAACATTAATCGTGCGACGGGGGCAGGGCGGTTTATCCGCGCGAGTAAGTCATTAGCATTGCGGTTGACATTACGAATTAGAAAGCACGCGTTCCGTTCTGCTCTGCTTGCACGCCGTACGCCGCGTATAGAAAATAAAAGCCAGAGCGTTCGTCCAGCGTATCGCGTGCGCGCAAGCCAGCTTGAAAACCGATACGTCGTCCACGAGGTAATTAAAATATTCATATTCTCAGCTCCCGTAAGATATATACAGGGTGTCTCGGTAAACTTTATTACCACGAATAATAACTTAACTTAAAATAAAATTAACTTAAGTTAAATGGCATGAGGTACGTGCTTTTTTTGTGGGTGGAGGCACTTCAGAGATTTCAAGGTGACCTAGATTTTTTTAACGGAATGACCTATTTTTGGTGTCGTAGGTCGATAGAGTATCAAATTTTGAGTAAAAATGTGTTGATCTTCGTACGTCCTAAACCTAATGGTTAACGAGATATTTAGAAAATAATTTTTAATACGTACTTACTATACATATGGAAGGTATAGGTGCTCGAACTGATGCCCCTCGACTTCAATACAGTGATTATTTTGTAAATATCTCGTTAAGTATTAGGTTGAGGACGTATGAAGGTCAACACATTTTTACTGAGAATTTGATGCTCTATCGATCTATGGTACAAGAAATAGGTCATTCCGTTAAAAAAAATCAAGGTGACCTTGAAATCTCTGAAATGCCTCCACCCACAAAAAAAGCACGTATCTTATGAGATGTGTTCCTTGATGGTATTTAAGTTGCACGGTTCAAAATTTTCATAAAGTGTACCGTTAAATTATTATTCGAGGTGATCAAGGTAGCTGAGACACCCTGTATACGTGCGGTGAAATTCGTTTTCGTTCCGTTCTTTTTGTTTCGTTCATACGTTCGCCTTTTTCCTCGTTTCTCTCTACTACCCCCTGAAGCTCGTTTCGCTCGACGAAGCAATTTCGGATAAACCGGCCGCGGCGGCGATCGACGACTTCCGCAATGCTCGAAGCGGCCTAACACATACAAGAACGATAGAAGTGCGTTGCTATTAGACATAGACACACTAGGAGACTCGTAATTATGGATCAAATCTTCGACGGATTTTTGCTGCCACGCATACATACGCGACTGCAACGTAGGGTGAATGCACTAAATGAATGAATACTTGAGAGACTTTGTAACTATTACAGTCGAAATTTTAATGATAATATTATTAACTAGCTACCTACATAACAGATGACGTCTATTGACGCCTTGAAGACGGCTTAGACCTGAAATAGCCGTAAAATGGACGTCTTCAAGACGTCATGTGCTATCTGGGTAAAAGACGGATGGTTTGAAGGACCCGCGAATAGAGATCAGATAGGATTAAGTATTATTAATTGATATGTCAATGAAATTCAGCGAAGTCAATGAAATTACATCACAAAGGGAAAATGTATAGTCGCCAGTGAGAAATTAAAGGGTTAATTTTTGTTTAAAGGGTAGAACTTATTCATAGATTGTACACATCTACAGGTGGTGTAGAAGTTTGTTTGTTGCACGAAACCAAGCCTCTACTTAACTTCTGTTTACACTGATTTCATTGGTTCCAAAAAGGGACAGCCCCCTGGTAAAAATAACGCCGTTGTCCGTGTCGCATTCATCGAGAGACCACTGTGTATCAGTCTCATAATTTCCAAATAATGACTTAAGTACGCGTTAAAGGGTTAAAAAATTCCCAAAAGTCGATCATTTCTTAGCCGTCCCAGGTGTATACCGTTCAATCTCTCTAAGAACACAACCATTACCTCACAGAAGGCTGAAGATTTCGCGCCTATTCATGGTTCTGTCGCTATCACTAACGCAGATACACGCGAGAACACGTGTAACACCGATGCACGCGTTCTTGCTCGATCCACCGTCACCGTAGTACAGAATAATGCATAATGGGCATCGTCGATCCACCAGGGGTAAGGGGGAATAGAGAATAATCGATTCCGATCGCGGCGCAATTAGATGAATCGATTCGAGAAAAAGCTCCCGTATCGCCGTCACCGTGATCGCGGGGCAATTAATTCGACGAAGGCGTTCGTGTTTATCGCTGGTCGTCGATTCACTTCTATTGGAGCACATATTGCAACGATCCAAGGAGGGACGAAGGGGAGGACAGCATTATTTCTAATTACTGGATCGACGCGATATTAATTTATTACCGGCCCGATAGACACTGAGGGGAGGGGGATGGTTGGTCGATGATATCCTCTCGCGGAAAAACGGAATGTTCCTTGATCGCGAGTATATACAGGGTGGTCCAATAAAAATTGTTTTTGGAGATCTGAAGAAACTTTGATAACAAACATTGTTCAGTACAGAGGGGGCTATAATATGGCAGTAACCATTTTTTTGTAGCTGGAGGAGTTTCGAAGAGTTCATAACAATTTTTTGATAGGAAATGTCCAAAGTGGCGGTGAGCTTGAAATTATCGAAACTCCTCAAACTGTAAAAAAATTATTACTGTCGTATTATAGCGCCCTCTATACCGAACAACTTTTGTTTCTAAAGTCCTTTCATATTCCCAGAACCAACGGAGATATTCACGTGCCAATTCCTATTAGACCACCCTTATAAGTGTACAGGGTGAGTGAATAAGAATTACTATCCAAAATAACTCGTTACCTATTACTTGTATCAGAAAACATTTTAATGAATCATGTAGCATTTTAAGTGACGCATCGGAAGTATACAATTTAACTTTCTCATATTTTTTTTTCTGTCGAAATATCAAGGTGACCTTCAGTTTTTTCAAGGTCGATGCATCTTTTTTTAATACCACATTGTTGTCGATGTTAGGAGAACTTCAGCGTCCTATAGCATAATGATATTAAAAAAAAAAAGATGCCCTGTCCTTGAAAAAACTCAAGGTCACCTCGATGTCGGAAAAAAAATAAGATATAATAAATTCAAATATACATTCGATGCGTCCCTTAAAATGCTACACAATTCATTAAAACGTTTTCTGGTATGACGAATAAGTAACGAGTTATTGTAGACAATAGTTCTTATTGACTCACCCTGTGTATCGACTCGGCCAGATGGATGGCTTCCGCGATGCCGTTCGTCAGGGCTGGTAACGAGCTACGGTAACCGCGTTACATTCGAGACGCATAGAACCTCTTGCAAGAGAGAGACAGCCCTCGTATGAAGACGTACGAGGGAATAAACCGTTCGCCAAGAAAGACCGCTTATTAACAAACCACCGCCTGGAAGCACGCGTGCCAGAGCTGGTCGCGGTGGCCAATTTTACGAGACCGCAAGGCCCTACTCTCTACCTTGGACACTCTCTCTACCTCTTCCTCGTTTGTTTCGCGGAACCAGCCTTGGGCCCCCGCAGGGGAGGTTAGGCCGCTGGCTACTTGAAGGTGGATCGAACGCATGATGCTTTGTTTTCTTTTGTTTTTTTCTCTGTTTCCTTCCTGCATTCGAAAGTTAGAGGCAATCATTGCTGTCCACTGAATCTCCTGGTCGCAACGCAATGATGGGAGGATCTATTCTGCTGATTGTAAAACGAGGCTGGTTCCATTGGGTAGTGAAACCGTGATCGTTACAGGCTTCTGGTTGTATTCCATATTGTAATTGAAAGATCGAGGCGTATTGGTTAATTAAACGGAAACTTTAGGTTCGTCGTATTTGCAGCTGTCTTTTGGTACGTTGGATCCACCAAGCAGCAATTATTTTTAGAAGTCAAGATTTGTAAACTCTTACAAAAATTATTAAAAATCATAACTAGATTGTGGATTTTTATGCAAAATGGCATAAAGTAATTCGTCAGTTCTATCTTGCCTTGAGTGTCTTGTTGGATTCAAAATAACATAGAAAATTGATTGTATCTGTGTGACATTTTCGTCTTTTATCGTATTTCCCAGAGCCTTGTAAGATATAAATGCATAAAATTCGCTGTCTAGTCATAACAGTTTATTTTCAGATATTCTTCACAAGTTTTATAGCTCTTAAAGATATGTTAAAAAATTTGTGAACGAATAATTTCTGACACAAAAAATTCTTCTGTTTCGAAGTTCTTTTCTAGATAGAATTTGAAATTGTCGTTTCTTATATACAGAATTTATGTACAATTGTTTGCAAACCAATACAGGGTTTAATTCGTTTCTCCAAAAATGAGGCATTTCCTGCGCCAAACCACAGATTATATATAAGTTATAAAGTTCGTTGATTTATCAATTCGAATATGTTCAACAAGCTTTTACCAAAATGATAAAAATAGAAACACGTTCATCTTCAGTGATTCTAGCATTAAATCAGGTTACTCTGTCAAACATCCTAAATAGTACCACTGAAACTGCTTATACAGAGTGGCCCAAGAGTCACTGGACCATTTTAAAAAATAATAACTTTTTAGAAAGAGCACTGTGAAGAACAAAATGGTCATTTGAAGGACGTAATCTACAAAACTAATTAAAAATAATTTCCAAGAAGTATATTTATAGTCTAGTGACTTTTGGACCACCCTGTACATATTTAACAGTACAATGTATACGATAATTATTAAAGTATTTAATTTTCATTTTATATAGTCCTCTTTCGACTACACGGAATTGTGTCCCGGAGGAACGGCAGCGGGAGCCGCGGTGGTCCTCGAGAGCGGCGCGGTGATACACCATCAGCCGCTTCAGCTGCAGTTGCAACAGAGCCACGCACAGGCGCAGGTGCAACGCGGAACATTGGTGTCCTCGGCCGCGGCGAACGCGAGCCCTAACCCGAATCCACCGAGGTCGCGACCTTGGCACGATTTCGGCAGGCAGAACGATGCGGACAAAATCCAGATACCAAAAATGTGAGTAACAATTAGAGGCTAAAGATCCTATAGTCAGGGGATAGCTACCTACCCTCTAAATACCCTATTCAACGAAGGACATTTTTATCTTACGAAATAGTGATAACCCCTACAGTGGCTAAATTAGTTCAGGAAGATGAATTTCGATACTTCTTTTAGAAGATTTGTAGGGGACCTCGATAGAAGCATCGAGCAATTTTTCGATTCTGCTGATGTTCAGTTTTGAAAGGTTAATGTCTTTTCCTATTTTCCTGTATATCTTGAAAATTATAGTAGATGCCAAAACATTGTTACAATGAAACTTTAATAGCTTCTTAGGCTATAAAGTATGCAATAAAATTGTTAAAAATTTGTTTATTTAATTATTTATTTATTTAAAAAACAAATTTTAACAATTTTATGGGGTTTAAAAATCCACTAAATTTTCATTATAATAGGTTTTTGACACTTACTATAATTTTCAAGAAATACAGGAAAATAGGAAAGATACATGAACATTCAAAGGGTGGCTTCACCCTAAAGATTCGAATATCAGCCAATACGAAATATTTTCCGAAGGTACTATCAAGCCTCCTTAATAATCCTGCGAAGTTTAAAAAAAAGTCTGAATTTTCGTCGTACCGAAGTTCCCTAGTTACCCAGGTAGGCGATTGTGGCGAACACACAGGAGCAGAAGCGGTGCAGGCCGTTCAACCAAGCCAGGCGTTGGTTATCGGCGCTGTCCCCGGTTGCGTTCTCCATCGGCGACCATTGCAGCAAAAAAAAGAACACCGTCACGAGTACGAAACCGCCTGGTCTACGGACGCGTGTCGTCGCGTAGATAAAGATAATAGGTCGAGCGGAGCCGACGCGGAAAGTTTGCTCGGTTTCTGCCGATATACGGCCTGACTCGCGGCACTAGGGGGGAAAGCCTCCCGCTTCCTACGGATAAGGATAATCGCTTTTTATTTCGCGTCTCCGTGGGCTCTATATTTAGAGCCGCTACGTGATAGTCGCGCAAAGGCTGCCGGGAAATCGACTTGACTGCGTCTACTGTAAACATTGTACGCGTTACCGTGCGAGGATGGTACAATTTCCTTGAGTTTTCTTGGAACCTACGATGGTGGTATATTCGGAAGAAATTGCAAACGAGAATGTAATTTTATTTCTATTTCGAAGAGACTCGCGATTCGATGAATTCAGGGAATACAGTAAATCATGTATGAGTGTCCGAAGGCTCTTCGATACTTTAGATGTCATCCCCACCTTGGTTCCACGGGGGATGTCCCCAGTGGTGGGGATGACGTTTGAACACTCACAAGGGAAGGATTCAAACTGTACTTCAACTGTATTTTATCGTACATTTGTTGGATGATAGAATATATATTTCTAATTATATGTTTTAAATATTAGCCGGAATTGCTTGATAGCTTTGGAGGTATAATTAAGCAAAGTTGCATACCTAGTTATATATGTACTATGAATGTAGGTGACTGTGAAATCCGAGATAGCAAAGTGACTTGTTGCATGGCTTATAAATCTGAAAGCCAAAAAAATAAAATTCATAGTATAATTAAGTATGTAACTTCAGTTATACCTTCAAAACTAAGAAATAACTATAGCTAATATTTCACACATATTATTAGAAATATGTATTCTATCGTCCTACAAAAGATCGATAAACTCGAAGTGGTACAATTGGAGTCCTTCCCTTGACAGTGCCGAGGAGCCTTCGAACACTCATCAAGGATTTACTATATTTCTCTGTTGTACTCTTTTAAAGGGTTTCAGAGATACTCCAACCGATCCGAATAAAACAGTTCATATAAACTCGTCAAATTTCCATCGTAAAAATTTTGTAAACAATATCGAAATTTTAAAAAAATCGACCATATATCGCCGAACAATAGTCACTCTTCCACGTGCACAATAGTTTCGAGTCAGCGCCGAGTTAATAAGGTCAAAACGATCCGTTTCAATTACAAGTTTTTCCACGTTGAATAATAGAAAATCATCGCGTTCTGTTTATCGGGGAGAACAAACGGATCGTCGTTTGTGTCTGTTATTGGCGATGTTCGCGTAATATATGAAGATTATAGGCTTATCACACTCTCGATTCGCCCGTCGATAGCCGCTTATCGGACCACGCGCTTGTTTTTCTTTTTTTTTTTTCATTTGTCGTTTGTCGAACCGATAAATCAGAAACTGGCGTGACGCGGTTGTCAGTGCGGTCCAATTAAACGGCTGTGAGGAAAAATCGTAACTGAGGTTTTTTTCTGATGTGCGCGCGCGCGCTCTTTCTGCCCGCAGATTCTCCGCCTATGGGTTCAAGTATCACCTGGAGTCGCCAATTAGCACGTCGCAACGCCGCGAGGACGACAGAATCACGTACATCAACAAGGGACAATTCTACGGGATCACGCTCGACTACGTACCGGATCCGGACAAGCCGACCCTGAAGACGGGACAGACCGTTAAGGTGAGAACGACGTGAAGATATCGTAATAAATTCGGTTCCTTAACCCTTTCGATGTTTATGTCGAGTACACTCGTTATGAAAAGATAGCATTTTTTATTTACTGACGAGTATACTTGTCATTGGACAACAAAATTTGCATTTGCTGTTTGAAATAAAATTTGAGTAAACCAAAAATATATTCGTAATTTTAAGACATTTCAGAATATTGTAGGACCAAAAACAGATGCAAAGATAAAAAAACATTTGAAAACAAGAAATATTAAGCAGTATATGTGCGAGGCCTGTTTGATAAGGCAGTGACTTTTTTTCTGACAATAGATGGCGCTCAAGTTGAAAGAGAAATATTGTCATTTTATTAGAATTTATTTCAATTTTACAGGAAATGCAGTTGCTCTGTTTTTGTCGAGTATACTCGTCATAGCTTTAAAATGATTAAGCATACAAGTTCTCGTTTTCATAATGCAATAAAACACTTAAAGTGTTGATTATTTAGAGTTATGAACGACCACTTGAAAAACAGAATTAAGTCGCGATGAACAATGATTGTTGACCGGTCGTGGAAAAACATCGGAGGAATCTTCGGATTGTCGGCAGGAAGTGGCTGTGTGACTAATTGAAAACATTTATTCAGTGTTTTTACGCGGACGAAGAAAAAAACGGTCACTAATGTCTGTATTAAACGCGAACAGTAAAAAGTGTCAACTGGTAACAATAAAAATAGAGAGATAAAAAAAGCTTACGATGACACTTAACTTAATGTAATATTTTTCCGACATTCCTAGAAAATCACACTATAATATTAAAAACTAAACGACTTAAAACGAAATAATTTTTAACGACTTAGAAGGAAAAAGTGAAAAATTTGATAAGGGAAAGATACAACATTTTAACGACTTAGAACAAAAATGTGAACAATTTTATGAGGGAAACAACATTTTAAATGACATTTCATTTTTTTTAAAAAAAAGTGGACCTAATACACTCTAATGCTGGAGTTCAGATGAATTATGAACCAAGCAGAAACTGAAGAGGGCAAAGCGAAACACGGTTGGGAGGTAACCACACCAGGAGAGATAGAATAAAGTAGACGAGTAGGGGGTTGCAAGATAGCCAGTGCTGCCCCTTTCCCCCCCTACCTCGGTCCCTGTGGACCGTTCGAATCGCCACGCGGCTCGACGCTCGATTAGCAATTAACGAGGAAGTCGTAACTCCTCCGGCTGAGTACGGAAGGGAGAGAGCGAGACAGAGAACGAAAAAGAAAGAATCGGCAGCTTTATCAGGATGGAAATTGCTAACGGTGCGCCATGCTGCCAATTAGAGCTGCGAGAACAAACGACCTCGTCCGACTTCTTCTTTCGGGCTGCGCGAATTCTATCGCTCGTAGGAGTTGGCAAACGAGCGTAAATGCTATGCGCCGGGATCCAGACCCCAGCCTAATGCGATTTAAGAGGAGTACCCCCGCAATTTCCCGTGACGATATTACCTCAACGTTTTGTTATTGTTTATCGCCAATGGCCAGCAGTTTCTTATGACGTCCGCCAGCGATTCCTCTTGGTAACGATAATACGGGCCAATCTTAACTTGAGATTGACTAGATCTGATGTTGTAATGATTAAATTTCGCTTTTGGCACCTGTTAACCCTTTAACGTCCATCATTCAAGTTTTATTTTGACGTATAAGTCACATCTGGAAAATCATTTCCAGGGGTCTTAAGAATGTTTAAAATGGGTTGGTTTAATGTCGATAATTTCGACTTCAAAATAATAAGATAAATATATATGTATATATGTATCAGACTCATAATTTTGAAATAACGATTTAAGGGTCTAGGTGTAACAGGGTTAAACTCGTTAACCACGTAGTCTAACAGACCCTGATTTCCTGTAAAGAGTAGAGTCCAAGGTCTCTAGACTAGGGTTTTAGGAACATTCCCTTAGTTTGGTGATATCTACAGATATACTTAAATGGAATAGAAAGAAAAGTGTGCCAATAATGGTAGTACGTTGCAGGAGGTTGATTCCTTGTGAAAAAGTCAGTTTCCATACCTGAAATTTCTAATACATCCTTGATCCACCGCTAATTCCTCCCCAAAGAGCACCTGAGATTCTTCTGCCAATCTCTCCATTAACTCCTCTACGCACGGCGAAACGGAGCCCACATTAGCCGGGTGCATGCAATTCTTCGTTCATTCACCCGAATCACGAAAAATCGGCGCCTGTCTGCCCAGTGGAGCGTGTGCTTCTTGTCGCGACCGATGTCACGCTCACGCGAGGCCTATCGTTATCGTGGCACCGGGGCAACGCGATTTTTCATCGCCTACCGGCGCGGCGGCGTTTCGAACGGTCGCCTGATTCTAAATTATTTGTCGGCAATCTGTACGTACGGCCGCGCACGGAACCCTATATGAATGTTAACCCGCGAAAACGGCCCCGGGGACACGTGTAACTGGTCGGCCGCGAAGGTTACCGTTTTATCTGATCGTCGCGGGCTTTAAACGACGGGACAATAAGAAACTGTACCGTGCACGCGATAGAGGTCTCTATCCAGACGACGACGTTCGGCCACACTGGGACTGCTGCACTGTTGCTCTCGGTTGCAAGACCGTTCCGACATCAGAAACCGTTTCAGACACAATGAGCTAAAAATTGGAACAATTTATGAGTTTGGGAATCGTAATCGAAGTGGATCTAAATAATTCGAGAATTACCTGTACATTAAAAGCACGTAATGCATCAGTTTCTTTTCGCTCTACTGAAAATTCACACGTTCTCGACTCGTGACAGTTGTCTTATAACGGTGCGATATGTTACACCAATAAATGTTCAAAATGCTTTTTCGATTAGTCACGTCAGAAAGTGTAGCTCTGAACAAGACTATAGGAGCATACATGGAAGCTATTTACCCTCTTCTTATGAGACTCCATAGTTCCACGTAGGTAACACGTATGAAGGGAACAGTGTATCTTCAAGGTTATGAATCTCCCATTTGACAGAATTTACCAGACCTTCAGTCTTCCAACTGTAACCGCCCCCATATCTGCGATTGCGATCAGAAAACTTTCATCGACCCGCTAGTAACGATTACACGACAAGTCGCGTGGTTATCGTCGATTATAGAGCACTTTCGGAAGAATATATAACGGCAGAATGGCATTCTTCCACTGAATCACCTTCCGCCAGAAGCTCTCAAGCACTTTCTGTTATCAAGCGAATCCTAGGAGACCCGCCAATCCATTTTCTTCGTTCCCCCGCCGCGTGGCGCTGCACATCGTAACCTTATATCCCGTAATTATAGAGCGGGAAGCTGTGCTCCGAACGACGGGCAGCCAGTTTCGATCGAAAAAACCGATCTGGTGGTTCGTAACGGAGGTTAAAGCAAAAAAAAAAACGTAAGACTCGTCTGTCCCTCTCGATTAATCAGCATAATTGTACCCCACGATCGAACGACATTTTCGCCAATGAATCACGTCGCACCGCACTCCGATCGCGCGAAAAATCGTCGAAAAGACGGCCTTATCCGTTGGAACGGCGACGATGACTTGGGATCGTTTATTGGGAATTAGCGGTGTCGAATGCCACGATTTATGCTACCGGATTATACGGTGCCGCGTGATTTATACGCGGGGACCGATCGACCGTGCCTGTGTCGCGCGCGTAGCGATGCCACACACTCACGCGAATTTCACGTCCCCCCCGGCCCCCTCTCGGTGCGTCAGCGAATTCCACAACGGTGTTCCGTTACCGACCGAGGCATTGTGTCCAACCGTCAAACCTCGTGTGTATCATCGACCTGACGAAACGATAGGGATAATTTACGATTAACGATAACAGAAGGAGGAGAGGTCCTATGTAGTGATGGCGATACATTTGAATTGTGTCGATACATATTGATGCACAAAGTATAGATTCAAAGGATATCGGCAACAAAATATCGATATTATCGGTGTATCGATACATGCAATTAAATTTGAACAGGTAACAGTGTGTGGAAAAGAAATCGACTAATCGCAAAGTTTATGGGGAAGCCCGCGATTAGTCCGTTTTCTTTACGACCTATTACCTTGCGGCAGATGCAACGATTATATATCAAATTTTGATATTTATGGGTTAAGTATCGATACTGGAATATATGTTCATATTAAATATCGATACAAGATATCGATACCTCAATTGAAAAGTTTCAATAGTCAGAATATCAATATTTAAATTGAAAAGTATTAATATACAAAGTATCGATTAGTTACAGTCTGTACCGTTAAAGTCAGATCGATATTCGATATATCGATACTGTATCGCATATCGCTAGTCCAGAGCGGTAAAATTCGAAACATTCCCCGAGCGCCTCGGATCTACAACCGTTCATCAATGCCTGTCGATGCCGGAATCTCTGTAATTTGCGTTGCATAATTGCACGTCACACCGTGTAATTTACGATGCACACACTCGGGATCAAAGCATGATGTCGCGACGACAATCTGAAAACTTTCGATTCAAGATCTGTGCTTCCTCTGGAAAATAGGAGCGAAATCGAATTTTCCATTGGAGCTTTCAGGAAAATACCTGGCATATATATTCGTGTCTGAAACCGCCATCTTTTTTTAAATGAAAACCGCAATGGCATTGTTTGCCCTCGATATTTCTTGTCGAAATCGTTCAAAAGTTACCAATTAATTAATATAGATTTATTTACAACGGTAAAGTGATCTAGCTGACCTTGGTTTTATGAGATTTTGTAAAAACTTTTATAATGAAACTGTACATCCTTTCGACACCATATCGAATAAATGCTTCCATATTGAACACGTACGCGGTAGTTAATGGTAACGCAGCTACCATGTTACACGTGAATCCCCTTTAAACGGAATCGATATCGCAGATGCGACTGAAACGCCGCCTTATATGAGGCTGCGTTTTACAAAATTACGTAAAACCAAGGTAGAGAGGCTAAGTATACGGGTAGAGACGATTTACCCGCACCTGCGGTATTAAGCTTGATAAAGTACTTACGCTCTGTCCATCCCCGTGTTTTGTCCCATAGAGCGTGGTAATGCTGATGTTCCGAGAAGAGAAGAGCCCCGAAGACGAGATTAAGGCGTGGCAGTTCTGGCACGGAAGGCAACATTCTGTCAAGCAACGTATTCTCGATGCCGGTGAGTAAAGCGCTGCGAAATCACCGAAGCTTACCCTCATATCGAGGAGGAGTCCTAAATAATGCTTACCCCCAATCCCCTCGATACTCTCGAGTTACATTCTAATCAGTTCATCCGCTTCGAGCTATCACGTCTCTGTTATACACTTCAACCCTTTTAGTACTTTACAATTCTTCTGTGGACCATCTGGAAATACCTTGGAATACATACATTCTTGAAGATATTTTTGAACACATTTTTTCTTAAATTAAAGATAACTTTACACTTACTTTTGTGTTTTATAGTGAACTATATTTTGTATTAGATAAAAAATTTGGGAAGTATTATATTAAGTGTAAAAATTAATTCGTCGTCCCCACAGTTAATTAGTGACTCAAAAACTGCCATAATAGTTTCGATAGGGGATTTGTCAAAGGACTGAGGGGGAATATTTTCAAGACTAGACTGTAGTTTGATTTTTTGTAAATATACTAGAAATCTTTAAAAAGCAACCCAGGAATTAATTTGTACACCTAATACTTTCGTCACTTTCTGTAACATAATTTATAATTTGTATTACATACGAACAGCCGAAATATCGGCTCAAGGTATTTCTGGCAAAGGTCCGATATTTCGGCTGGTGGGTACCAAGAGGGTTAAACGTCTTCATAATACCCCGTATTTTCTGCGCAAGCAGCACGGATCTTGGCTACACGTTCGGTAAGATCACACGAAATGCAACATCGATCACGCTGTAAGAACAGAGAAAAAAAAAACGAAAGAACGATACGCTCCCTTTCGCGTTTCTCCGTCGGGGTGATTTGCAACTTTAACAATACAATCTTACACCGTTACAGACACGAAGAACAGCGTGGGACTGGTGGGCTGCATAGAGGAAGTCGCGCACAATGCGATTGCCGTTTATTGGAACCCACTCGAATCCTCGGCGAAGGTATGAGTCCTTCATCGTTTCATTACAGAGATTCCATTTGCATAGAACGATCTGTCTATATAGAAAGAGGCTTTAATGGTCGACTAGCTTATTTATAAGATGCTTATTAAACGACGCGTAAAAATATTTTCATGAGCTCATCGCGGTGTTCCGCGTATCTCCACGTTACAGATCAACGTCGCGGTTCAGTGTCTCAGCACCGATTTCTCGAGTCAGAAGGGAGTGAAAGGGCTTCCACTGCACATCCAGGTGGACACTTACGAGGAACCGCCGCCGCACGCTCATTCGTACACACCCCCGTCACATCGTGGCTATTGTCAGATCAAAGTGTTTTGCGATAAGGTATCTATTATGCCACATATGTACAGTCTATTGACGGAGACAAGAAAACAAAATGTTTAATAACCATGTATACGAAAGTTAGAAAGTCATAAACGGAACGTAGAAAGAGGTATTGGTTAATTTTCGGTTCCAATATGGCCGCCATCTTGGTTCCTGGAAACTTGTCGGTATTAATTTCAATGCATTGTTTATACTTTGTTTTAATCACTGTTGGATAATTTAACTTTCATATTGCGATAGTTCAGTTACTTAACCCTTTAACGCCAAGTGTTGCACCGGTGCAACACTCGTTTTAAAAATGCGTGCAATTATGTTGCCGGTTAATATCTAACTTTTGTCTGCAAGCATCTGTAGTTTCAAATATTCCCTCCAAAAATAAATAAAAAATGAAAAAAATAAGTCTGTTTAATATTGATATTTTTGACTTCAAAATAAGTGGATACAACATATATATCAGTCTCATAATATTGCAATAACTATTTAAGAGTCTGGACGTTAAAGGGTTAAATGGGAGACTATCTGTAGCCATTATTCGATATAGCAGAAAGTATAATTCCATTGTTGTTCAATAGGGAGCTGAAAGGAAGACTCGAGACGAGGAGAGGAGAGCGGCGAAGAGAAAGATGACGGCGACTGGTAGGAAAAAGCTGGACGAGCTCTATCACTCCGTCACGGAACGCAGCGAATTCTACTCGATGGTGGATCTTCACAAGCCACCAGTTCTGTTCTCGCCACCGGCTGAACACACCATCGACAAGGTACATATCGAAATCAAGCAATTCGATGGAGAACCGTGTGCAGAAAATCACTAGATTACTGGGAAATGAATGATCGATTAGCACCCAAATGCTTGAAGCAGTAATTCAGTAAAAATTCAGATACAGTCAGCTTCTAAGTCCAATTCGTGAAACTGTTCATATTGAAGAAACAGAATACGTACGTTAAGAGTCATAAACGAAACATTACTTTCGGCCATTTTCTTCTCACCAACCTATCCTGTACTCTATTACAATTTCTTATTTCCAATTTGAGCTACGTAGGACGAAGAACACGTGAAGATATTCACTGCAAAATTTAATTTTTAAAAGAATATCATATTCACGGCGGACACTCACAAACACAGTAATCTACGAACAAAGAGACACGTCCAAAGACCCATGAGGTGTGTTAACCGCCCCATAGACGATACGATTTGTCGTCCTAACTGTGTGTCCAACTGCCTGTACAACTTGCTGTACGACAAATCGTAGGGTTTATGGGAACCTTTAGTCCTCCAAACGAGGGGGCTGACCAAAAGACCGTGTGGATAAACTCACTTTCTCGACAAACTAACTAGAACTATCTGAAACGAGAAATGGTAATATCCACCACAATCCTCTGCTCTCAACACCGCCAAAACTCTCCACTAATCGCGACTCTTACATCGTCATATAACCACCATATCAAATCCCGTGAACGAGCAGCAGCAACGCTCGCTACAACAATTCGTCGCTGTAGTTCTTAACTATCTCCACTAGTTTCTACCCTAAGAAAACTGAGCTTAAAGTTCACGAAGTTTAATACTATAGAAATAGGGAAGTAGTGAAATACTTAAACACACTGTAATATTATTTACTGAATACAGTAAATCCTCGATGAGTGTTCAAAGGCTCTTTAGCACTGAACATTAAATACTTCATAAACTAATGGTCATATGTGAGTGAAATGAGTATCATTGGCTTCAGAATTCCAATCTCTATCACTGTGCTAAACCTCGTTAAAAACGACGCCAACGGTAAATGCAAAGATCGGTAGGCAATATCTTCTGTTTCTTGTTCCACGACAGTTCTCAACGATGGAGTTGTCAGGCTTCTACGGAGGTGGAGGCGGGGGTGGTGGCGATACAGACACGTCGTCACTGAGTAACGGGGAGGGCGGAGGATTGAAGGCCGGTGGCAGCAGCCCTTATCCTGCCTGCGGCAGACCGAGCCTGCCGGCCCTCAAGTTCCACAACCACTTCCCGCCCGACAATCTGACTAGCCTGCACGACAAGAAGGACTCGTTGCTGATGCAGGTGCAGGAGCTCCAGGGCTCGGTGCTGCAGGGCGTGCAACAGGCAGGTCTAACGGGCACCGTGGTCACCGGGGTCGGAAACCGTTTGCATCTGCAGCAACAGCCGCCCCATCTTCGACCAGCTGACGCCGAGGAACGTGTGATGCTCTACGTTCGCCAGGAGTCCGAGGACGTGTACACGCCGCTGCACGTCACACCGCCGACCGTCCAGGGACTTTTGAACGCTGTAAGACGACAAGAATTTTTTTAACCTAGAAACACACACGGTGTCGAGTAACGGACGGTAGACTTGCTGTGATCGGATTAGCGAACGAATGAGGATCACTTAAAGCAAGTGGAAACATTCCATCCTTGTGCTCTTGATTGAACTTGATTAAGTTCTGTGTGTAATAAATAGACTGCGGATTTTATGCATTTATAATATACCCGATTGTCTGAAATTCAGTATAGTAAGAAGTTTAATTAATTTTAGTACGGTTTTCCTTTTCTGAGGGAGAAGATAGAACCTTTGATGCAGTAAGGAAATTTAAGTTTGTTTTTAGTTTTCGTAAATAAATCCTTGAAAACTGATATTTGCATAAAGATCCGCAGTCTAGTAAGGAGTTTGATGAATATGTAGCGACAAAGATTAGATGTCATATTGAATTTTTGAGGACGTTTCGCCTGCAGAGGACGAAAAGCCTATTTTTAGCTACGCGTCTTCGTAGCGTATGTTTCGTTACGACGTGATTGTTTTATGACTAATGGAGTGATGCACGAGAGAGTAACACGAGCAACCAACGCAAGTGGAGACACGGCCATTTAAGTTTTATTAGCCATGCATGCGAGGGGAGAACAACACCACACCCATTAATCAATTATACTTGTTGCACCGTTCCATTAAACGCTGTTTTAATTACTGGTTTAACGCGCATGCATCACACCGCCAAAAAATCCACACAAATTAATAACGATAAATTAATATCGATTAACCAACCGCCCCCATTGTGCGAGGAACGAATCGATGGTCTCGGACGTCTAAATGAAGTGTGCGTTACGAGCCATCGTTACAGGGTCGCACAACGATTTTTTAACGGTCCAGTTGCCAGAAGAAAAAAAGTGGAAAAAAATGGAACAAACATCCTCCTTTGTGTCGAAATCTCTATGTCTTGTTTGCGTGTGTACATTTCCGTTTGTTTGTTTCGAGGATCGTGGCTAAAATTCCTCCATATTGATTTCTGCAATCTCTGTATAGACAAATCGCGTTGTTTCTAATCCTTCATTCTTTCATCTTCAGTGTTTTCGTTTAATCTTCTTCAAATATATTCCGTTTTCGGTTAAGTTTCTTCTCTGTCCCTCCCCTCCGCCGTTCTCTCACGGGCACCGTCGGGCCCACCTCCACACCCCCCAGCCCCCAAAAAAAACCCAAACACGGTCCGCAACCACTGTCAAAATTCTAATGTTCTACTTTTTTTCTATTTTACAGATTGAGTCAAAGTACAAAATTGCATCCTCGAGTATTAATAACCTCTATCGCAAAAACACAAAGGGGTAAGTTTAGTAGAGTGTCATCTTTACTTGCATGCACCGCCCACGTAGTGCATGCCATAACGGTGACATTGCCTGACTTCTCTCCGGCTGGTTTGGTAGTCTATGTCCCTCTCGCTTTACGAACGCGCCTCTTATTTCCGGAATCGACTTGGAACTCTTTTAATCGCTTCTTTCCGCCTGATAACACTGGTCTCTATCTCGTAGCCACCCCTAACACGTTTGTCACCCCCTTTTACACCTGTATTCCATCCAAATATAATCTCAACCTCTAACCTAGACCTAACTCAAACTAATCGACTAATCTTTTTTTGTGACTTCTCCCTTTGTTTCTCTTTCTCTATCTTTCTATTTTTCTTCTGTCACGAGTGTAATCTCTCCAAACGAATTACTGCTAACTTTACCCACCATTACCGAATCCATTAATTTTCCATTTAATTTACACTAACGCACGCCTGCATGCTTCCTCCATCTTGCACGATCTATCGCTGAGAGACTCTCTACTGCACGTTTCTTCCCCTCGGACGCATCACGCATCCAAGTTGCCTGAAATTGTACGCGTGTTTCGTTGTTGTTCCTTTTGTTTTTTTTTTTTTTTTTTAATTTGTTTGCTCTTTGTGTTTTCACCTTCTGTATTAGACCGGATAGAGTTTTAGAACGAGTCGGTTAGTGGTACTGTGCGGTACACAACCGGCACGATAGAGTCGACAGATTTTGAGCCGCCATTTTGACGCGGACCATCATATCGCGAATGTTTCTTCAGATACTAAGGATGTTCTAATTTTGGTGACTTTGACTGAAGTTTAGGAATTATATATTTGGCTCGTAATCTGTGATATATCGTACCTTGAATTTTGATTGTTATTTCTTCATTCAGGCTCAAGATCGGTTTACATCGATTGACCTGAGAACTAACTTCGATCGATAGGGTGAACCTCGTTCTTTTTTACCTGTCAGAATATGTGTCCATTCTGAATCATATAAGTCATATTCTCGTTTGATGAAAAAATATGTGATTCGTTCTAACAACAGCTGTTTCACCGGATAGGGACATTATACAAAACGACATTTTAAAAATTTAGCTGAAAATACACTTAAACTTTCTTACGTTATAACCTAATAACTCAACGATTTTACCTATCGGTAACAAATTCAACACTTCGAAAGGCCTAGAATTCATTACGATCATTCCCCAAAGTTCTTGACTCGTCTTTCCTTATACATTTTCATAAACACTTTGAACAATTGTGTTATTCTGTGAACAGGCAACACATTGACAATGGAGAAAAGTGTTTTACAAATACTTAACAAATTTAATCTTCTTAAATATTCGTAGAATGTTTTCTACATTCATCGACCATGAACTCAGTAAATAATCGGTGAGTGTTCGAAGGCTTCTCAGCGCTGTCAAACACCCAGTGGTGGGGATGACGTCTGAACATTCTAAACACTCAGTGCCCAAGAGCCGTCGAACACTCATCGACGATTTACTGTGTCTCAGAAAGTCTAAACTACAATTACATTGTTACAAAAATTACAATACGCAACACAAATCCTCTCTACATTATCCTATCTCATTCTATCCCCCCAAATAACCCCTTTAGCACGAACTCAAATCTGTCGACCTATCGTAAGCCACGAATTAACCATACTCTGCTTAAAATATAAATCTTTCACACGAACGTGGTACAAGGCTCGCCGATCTCCCGTTCCCCTCGACACGAAACACATGTAAATCCTACTGTTATTCTCGAGCTCTCTGGTTACCGTCCACCCGTTTCAAAATCCATATAATTCACTCAAATTTTAAGCAGGGTAGAGTAGCCCCACAAACAACACGCGCATATAAACACAATTATACTCAAGTCTGACCGATTCTATTCGCGTGTTTCAGAATTACAGCGAAAATTGACGACGACATGATCCGATATTACGTGGACGAGGACCTGTTCCTGTTGGAGGTGAGCCACTCCAGGGTGAACTCAGACCCGAGCAACGACCGTAATCCGAATCCAGGCTCGCCAGGCGATCCCGGTGATCCGGGTGATCCACCTGCCACAGCTGGATACGACGTCACCCTAATCGAGCTACCCTCATCCCCCGCCCATATAGCTCATTCACCTCTCACGAATTCGACGCACGGGCACGGGCACGTTCACGAGACGGGCAACACGTGAAGAGAGGCGAAAACAACGGAAGAAAGTATATTAAAAAAATACACACACATACACACAGAGATTCCGTGACTTTGGTGTAAATAAGTCTGAAGGACACAGTCGGTTTTGTACGCGCGACTCGGTGGGGATCATCGACACGAGGTGCAATGTGAACGGACACAGACCCACACACGACCCAAGAAGAGCCTTTTTTCTCATCGAGCTGGCGTCGAAGACCTAAGAGACGTCGGTGTATCAGTGCTTGTTCCGTATTAGGGATCCGGTTTCGACCACAGTAACACACCCTGAAGAAGAAGAGGACATCAATGTTCGGTGAAGAGACAGCAGCAACCGGTGGACAACGTTGCTCCTCCGGGGGGGCCTGGCCACCGAATTTGGGACTGATGTAGTACCGTGCACATGCGTAAGAAGTCAGATCCGATCGCTGAAATCGGACGATTGTTAGTTGATAGTGGCCGTCCAAACAGCTGCTGTACCCCCCGATCGCCTGAGGCTCGCGGATGTGAGAGTTTGATCTCTGTAGTAGACTGTTCTTTTTTTTTTTTTTCTTATTTTGTTGTTCTCGACAAGAATGTTGGGCGTGAAATTTATTTGTAAATTTTATAACGAAACGCAGCTCACACGCGCGAAGCCTCGGTTATGTGCGCGGATCGGCGGGGGTACATGCGAAATTGGCGATAGACGGCGGCTCCGTTATATTCTATTTTGTTTGTTTTCACTTGTGAACAATTTATATCGATGGTTGTTAGCTTAGCAAGAGAGAGAGAGAGACGGGCGTCGTGGTTGATTACGTATAACGTATAAGATGTATATGGAAAGATCGTCAATCTATTATTATTATTGTATCGTCGCTATAGAGTTTAAATTCTTGTTTACGCGTCCAGCAGAGAGGAAGTACTTTTTTTTTTATTTTACACAGATGACTCGTGTGCGTAGAACTATTTTAAGCACTTCTGAACGCCGCCATTCCAAGATAGGACGGGTGCCATCGAGCATTATTCGCGTAGTGTCACGCTCACACACATTACACACACACACACACACATACACACAGTAAGTTCTTGTCTGATGTTCTTTTTGTTCCGAAGCATAGTGTCATACACGTCCTCCGTGAAAAAAACGAAAGGCGTTCGGGCCCCATTTATTTCGGAGAATCGTCCGTGAAAAACCAGAAATGTCCACTTCGCATCTCTGCTTTATTTATAACCACCGAACACAAGGGACCCAACCCTCATCCCCAGTACACTTGTTTAGCTATCCCTTAGGTACTTCGCTATCATTCCACTTCCTGAGCGTCCCAGGACCCTTTGATATTATACAAAGAGCAAGTATTACTCAGAGATACGTAATCTTCCAAGACGAATGGGCAGACGAGAGTAATCGTGTTTAGGAAAAAGCCTAGGTGCACCGCGCGAATTTCGACGGAACCCAACGGGCGCAGCGAACTTCGCGACATCTAGGTTAGACTTAAGGTAACTAGACCCGTATCGACGACTGTAATCGACCTTGAACCGATGGACCCCTCTCGGGTCGGTGCTTCCGCTAACGTAAAATTTAATCTGTTTTAAGTCACGTCGCAAAATTGATAGTATAAAATTGCGCCTTTTGTAAATTGTAAATCTCAAATATGTATTGTGTGTATATATATACATCATTAGTCTTCAAGCATTTGGACTCTTTGGGGACTTCCGGTAAATTGTATATTTCTAAACTTGGAATTCTTCGGCGATGGTACTTCCAGTGAAAATGGAATTGTGATTTCTGGCCTTTTTTTTAGTTACTGACTTCGTTTTATACGCGACATATGTATATACATAAATGGTTTCCAAAGAGTTCGAATAAGACAGACCCGGTGAGACGCGAGTTTATCTTGAATTTCTTGGTTATGGCAGGAAACCGACTGTCGACAGTGCGTGTAAAGTCGTCGTAGGTTACGTACGAGCAGCAAGACATATAAAGATGCGTATCCACTTGTTGCGTATCCTTGTATCGTATCACCGGTGTCGTGTATCAATGTAGACGGACAATCATTGCATCGTTGTGTATAAAATGTATCGTATGGCGATACGGATACGAGGATACGCAGCAAATTGATACGCACCTTAAAAGTACGAAGAGCATACGATTGATATATTGTTTTGTTTCTAATAGACGAAGCAGGATTTAACGTGCCACTGATGAAGCACAGCCATTCGCTACTCTCTCGTCGTGTAATTTTTAAGACGAAAAGTTAGCGTACACACACATGGACACACACACATCATTACCGATTACAAAATACGGTAATTATTCGCGTTTAGATTGGACTAGATATCATCATGATCACGACAATTGTTTTTATCTTTCATGCATATATATATGTTAAATGTGTACACACATACACACACATACAAGAATACATCGCGTCGCGAATACACCGATATCAAAGCAAGGATCAAAATACGCTTGTAAAATGCATATTATTATGATATGAGTACTATATTTTGTTACATCTATTGCAAGACAGCATATAGTTTGATATTATTAATATTATTGATTCTATTGACTAGAGCTACGTAATACGTATATATAATTATTATTATTATTATTATTATTTTTATACGAGGAATGCGTGTCTTCATGGTGCGAGAATGCGAGTAAAAGAGGGACCAAGCGAGGAAGAAGAGAGAGCGAAAGAATGGATTCGAGTGAATGAAACGGGAACGAGTGTGCCTGCGAAAGTCGAGAGAAAGAGAAAACAGAGAGGTAATTACAGTTTATGAAGATTGTTAGCGTTGCTCCATGACATTTTTATCCGTAATCGATATCCATCCCACCCCAAATCTCCCAACCCCCTCCCGAAATCTCCCCGAGCCACCCCAAATATTCGTCACTCGTCGCAACGCGTAAGGTTGCGCACGATCGCGAACGATTCTTATTGCTATCGTTATGAACCCTTATTATCCTTACGTTTATTAATATTATTAATTAATGATACATGTATGAATGACGGCCGTGTTAGGGTCAGGAGAAGACGTGGATCGCGATTAAACCGGTGAGACAACACAGCTCGTCGAGTGGAAAGAAAAAGGGAGATAGAGAAAGAATGATAGATGCAATTTTCGTTCTTTCTTTACGTTTTGTTACTTTAGTGTCTTCTTTTCTTGTTCTGCATGAGTCACAGGGAGCGTTTTGTCGTCTCGTGATCCTCACGCAGCCGTCTCGATATCGTACTTAAAAAAAGAACCGTGAACGACGATGCGGAACGTGGGCCCCCTCAGGCGTCGTCTTTGCAGTTCCGTTGGATACGCGCCCCCGATTGTCGGCGGTGGTTTTTGTTGCGCAAAACAGGGGCCGATCGTGTGTCGGGATCCAGAACGCACGCATGTACTGTTTTGTTAGAGGAGCCGTTGATGCTCGGACGGATGTTGCGGAGAACACATGAAATGATGTGAGAATACCGAATATATGTACCGTTTTTCGCGTTGTCTTGCCATCGTGAGATTGTGCCAGAGGTGATATTATATTACGCTGTTTATTGCAAACAATAAAATATTATATTAGTACGTTTTATAAATTATCGTGTTGTTATTGGCGACAAGGTGGAGGGCCTTTAGATCCGTGGATCTTTCTAATTCTGCGTGGAATAAGTAAGATTTAGTTCTGTTGATTATAAATATGGGGACTTCCTGAGACTTAATACCGACAGTTCTGGGCTTACAGAACGTAAGATCTTCCAAATCTAAAAACTCAATGCACGTAGAAACATCAAGATCCTTACAGACCCCTGGATCCTGCGTCAGACTTGAGGTCTCTAAGATTTTATAGTGTTCTTGGTATTATTGGTACCTCCATGGTCATCAAATTTTCTGGCATCTCTGTGACCTTTGAGATCCCCGTGACCTTCAAGGTCCTTGAGATCAGTGAGACTTTCAGAACCTCAAAGAACCTCGGAATCTTTGGGACCCCTAAGAACGTTGCTGTCTAAAACTTCTAGGATCCTTGATACCTCTGAAACTTTCAGGATTCGTAGGATTCTCAGAATCTCGAGAAGTCTTAGGACTTTTGGGATCCCGAAGATCCTTGAAATATTTTGATTCTTGAAATCTCTGGGAACCGTCAAGGTCCGTTGGATCCCTGGAACTTCCAGGATCGTGGATTTTTGGGACCCTTAATATCACTGGGATATCTGGATCCTTGAAATCTGCGAAACCCTCGATCTCTCCAGGATCTCCATAAACCTCAAGGAATCCTACAATCTCTCAAGGACCTCCTAAATTTCAAGATCGTGGTAATACCGTCCCGATATCCCAAACATTCTAACATTTTTAAAGCAGTGATTTCTAAAAGATGTCAACTCCTGATAGCACAATAGTACCCGTGTATCCAATCCTTCCTGGGCCCCATGTAGCCCGAAGTTCTAATACCATCCGTGTCACATTCTCCAAGTTCTATTAACATTCCAAACCCTCATAAACACGATCTGCAACATGGAACAGCAATTTTCAGGCAATCTTAATAAACATCGAAATACGTTTACTTCCACAGACACGAACGGAAACTTCTAGAGGACAGGCAACGGAAGGAAACCTGTTAGCGAAGAATCCAATAAAAGGATTCCGTTGGTAGATGGTTATAAAGAAAGACGATATAAGACAGTTAGAAAATAAAAAGCAAATGTACACTCGGAGACCGCAGAATCGGGCTAATGGAAGTTTCCTGACAAACTTTTAAAAGGGTCCACGTTTCCACGGTTCATGTAATATGTAGATGTCCGATACCACTCGATTTAATTAAAAAAGAAACGAAATCGGGCTCGGTACAAGAAAGATTACCATCGATTTTAAACGAACAGAAATTTATGCCTCGATCATTGTGCAATCCGATGGGACATCCAGAGGAACAATTTCGTTCTATGAATCTTGGATAACGATCGATGATGTTGCCTCTCGTGCGGCGAATCGTGTTGCTCGCTATAATCGAAGATATTGTATGCACGAGTGCTACAACGATAGCTCGCGTGAATACACGACCTT